CCACAGATAATGTATGTGCAAAGTAACGGAAACGTTGACTCATATCCGCAAAGGAAAAAGTATATATTTTTATCCAAACAACTGCCTGCGATACAGGCAAACAGATTTTTACACATATCATGTGTGCTGTGGCGCTTCGTAGGCACAGACGCAAGCGGCGACTTGTTGTTTGTCTACTTGCTTGCTGGATTGTTGTTGTTGTTTTGTTACGTTGACGAAAAGCCTTTAATCGACAGCAACATATTCGATTTTAATATTCATACGCTGTCATAAATTCATACAAATGCGGCCGCTTATGTGGTGGCGGTGGTGAGTGTCAGTCAACATGCAGGCACACACACACACACACACACATATATATATATATATAGATATATGTACGTGCAACACTGCGGCGAGAATGGTGCTCGACTGTGCACTTCAAAGCGCAAATGTGGGAGAAAAATGCAGGTTCGACTCGGCGTGCTGGCGGAAATGTTGCTGTGCGTGTGTGTGTGTGTTTATGCATGTGTGGTTGTGTAACTAACCAACAACTCACTTGTGAAGCCAACGAACTGCACTAACAATCGCCCACACACGTTCGTCTCTACTGCCTGCTACACTATGTGCTTTTGTTGCTGTTGTAGTTAACTTTAATTTTCTTTTTTCGTATTCGGGTTGCTGTTGTTGCCTTTGCGCCGTGCAGCTGCGATAAATTGCTTGCGAATGAGTTTGCTCATTCGTGTGACTGCAAGCATAAACACACAAACACACACACAGCAATATTGCAACATGGCGTGCAAGCGGTGGCGCTGGCGCGGGTGCTGCACGGTGCCGTTTCTCAATTTCGCTGCAATTCGTGCACATGTTGCGACACTCTGGGGCATTGCGCAACTTTGTTTTCATCCGTTCATCCGCTGGCTAGTTGCGCGCCGGTTGCGCTGTGGTCACTTCACAAATTTAAAGCATACTTTTAGGCCACTTTAAACATGTGTCTGCATTTTGTTTTTTTTTTTGCTTTTTATTCTTTTCCGCTTTCCGCTCGCCGCACCCACATTCGCAACATTCTTTTATTGCTTGTTTTTGTTTTGTGCAGTGAGTCAACCTTGGCTGCTCGGCCGTGAGTGAAAGAGGAAGCAAATTGTTTTTATTTTACAGTTGCTGAGTGGAATTTTCCGCTCTGGCAGTGTTTTCAACTTTTCAGCTTATTTGTGCTGGTTTTCTTTGTTGCTGTATGATTTTTTCATATTTTCCTAATCTACAGTTGACTTTTGTATGCACTGTTTTTTGCTTCTGTTGCTTGACTCACCTGCGCAGTGTAGCGACTCTACTCTAATCAAGTACTTTCGTGGTTTTTGTGTGCGGACAGCAGCAAAAACTTAATGTGTACTTTTTCAAGGAAGCGCAAACCACTTTCTCAACTTTTCCACATGCCAAACAAACCTTTTTCTAAACTCTATCGCGCTGCTCGTGTTTTTGCCACACCCGCAAGCTTTCGGTACGTAGCATACTATCAGGCGCGCCAACATATTGCCTGCAAGCGAACAAGCAGTGCTTAACAACGCGCTGTGGCAGCAAGTTAAAAAAGAAAATTAACAAGCATAAATGCAAAAGTAGAGGTAAATGTAACGGTAAAACTCAGATGTACTCGGTTGTACTCATTAGGCGAAAAATATGTCCGAGTTGCGAACATGAAACTTGCTTGTCAAGTTTGCGCAGCACAAGCGTCTACAAAAAAGCAACAAGTACGCAGCCAAAGTGGAAAACGAGAGTAATATATTTTTTAAGTTAGTTAATGATAAGACCAAAGATATTAAGAGTTTATATATATTTTTTAATATTATATACATTAAGACAATGTTTAAAGTTATAATGAAAATTGTACTTGTAAATGCAAATTTAATTAGAAAGTCTCGCTTAGTATTTTGCTGTGTTAAAAGCAAAGTTGCGCAGCGTCGCACACTTTCTAACTACGCCTAGTTTTCAACAACCGAAATATGTGTCGTATTTTAGGCGCAGCTAGTCGCACGCCTGCAACAAGCGGCCGTCAGCTGCATAGCTCACTTGCACAGTTATTTCCAAGTTTATTGCACTACAGTGGCCAAGTTTTTGCCATTTACCGTTATACTTAGTTGAGTGCGCGAAATTAGTTGCAGTTTTTAGCTAGTCATAGCTAAAGAGCACTTAGGGCTGTATGCCTAAAAGTAGGCAACTACTTTCATATTTGTCTAAGTCGTGCATATTTTACATACATATACACATAGCATATGTATATGTTTGTGTGTCTGTTTTTCATGTGAATTTTTGGTTTTTCTGTATACGTGTGCATTTGTGCTTTGTGTGCCAACTGGCTGACTAAGTGATGTAAGCATTTGGCTGCATAGTAGGCGCGTCTTCATGAAGAATAACCCAGTTTGCGTTTTCAAGTTGCTACAGGCAGTGGGCCGGGCAATTTGGGTCGCATGCAATTAAACAAATATTAAAGCGTAGACACTGCTGTAGCTCTCTTCATACACACGTGTGCGTATTTGTATGCGAAAACGTCCAATGAAAATATATTTCGCTGCTAAGTCGCAAAGACATTTGCTTTTTTCTACTCCGCCATACGTGTTCGAGGCTTGGATTTGCTGCGCCGCCATGACCAACATAAAATGTACATTTAATATGCTTAAAAGTGTCTTAAATATTTGATTAGTGGAATGTTTGTGCTTTGTAGGATTATTCTAGCACTTAGCCTGCCGTTAGTCGTATATACTAAATAGCTCGGCAAGTAGTACCATGGCGCAAGGTAGTGTACTAGCCTAGTCCAATTTGCTCAGAGGTGGCATATGTGGCATAGAAGCTTTCACAGCAAATATTAGTACTTTTCTCTCCTATTTTTCTGCACAAAACTTTTTAATCATGTTCAACTGTTTAATCTGACTTATTTTTAATTGGCTTAACAAATTTCTCAACAAAATTTTAAACACCAACTGGACGAGCACAGCTCATTAGACGTCAACCAGTTGAATTATTTCCGCTGCTGCTCTTTGGTGTATTTTCGTTTCTGTTTGCCGTCCTCTGCACATCCTTTTTTTTTTTTTTTGTGGTTTTTATCTGCCATTTTATTAACACTCAAATTACACGCTTTCTTGCATTCTTTATAGTTGTTGTTTTTTTTGGTGATGCCACCTTTGATCGGACGAGCGACTATCCAGTCATTGCTTTTTGTCACATAAAGTCAACCAACCAGTCAAGCAGCAAACCACCTAACTTGCATGCCACAGCGCTGGCTGTGAGGCGCTGCACGAATTTCTGCTCATTTACCTCCTCCACTGCTGAGTTGCGCTACTAGTGTAGCATACTTTGAGGCGTGGGCGCGAGTCTAGGCAATATGTATCAGCCGAAGCTGCGCTGTGGCAACGGTGATTCCATTCCACTTACCATATCACATACATATATACATGAAAAATTTATGCGCACATAGATAGATAGCTGAACGTCCTGAAAGTCGAAAGAGCACATTGAGGAGAAAATGACGTGAAAAAGTACTTCACACAAAATTACCCTTTTCAATTTGCGGCTTTTGTTGTTTGTTTATTCGATACTGGCAATGAGTAAACTGGTGGTGTCTAGTGAGTTCTTTGTGTGTGTGTGTGTGTTTGTGTGAGTATGCAATTGGCTACGCGTGTGTCCGTGTTTGCTTATTGACTTGATTTCCATTGTGTGTTTATTTAGTGGCGAAAGCGCGCGCGTCTGAATGCTAATACAGAGCCATAAGCATGAAGGCAAACAAAGTGTGTTATTTACGTGTGTGTGTTGTTGGACAGGTATGCGTCTAAACGTGTTTTTGGTTTCGCCAAATCGAAATGTAACGAAGTTTTGACTTTTGTGCCATATTTTCATCTAATTTATGGCTTTACTTGTTTGTATGTGTCCAAAAGCTATTTCATGGTGGATTAAATCACGCGGTCTTTGTTTGATTTTTACTAAAAGAAATTTGATTTTTTTTTTTCAATTTTTACTGATTCTGCTATTCCCTCGAAACTTGTTAAAGCTAAGTTACATTTCATTTTAGATACGAAGTTTATAAAGTTAAAACTGTTGTAGTAAGATAGAACATAAAAATATGTCATAAACTTACAAATTTTTATAATATTTTAAAAAAACGTTCACCAAATGTGGAGTAAAAATAACAATTAGAATTTGTAAACATAAAATTAAAAAAAAAAAAAGCCCGACATTTTTTTTTCAAAACTTGTTCTAAGCCATTAGTTACAAAGGCAAAAGAGCACCATTCGCGGAGTTGTAATTACTACTAAACATCGTCATTACCACTTTTTACTACAAGTTTGAAAAGAAAACTGAGGCATATGCCCAGGAGCCGGTTTTGCAGACACATTTCTCGCTGTGCCGCGTCATACGACAATACAACTGTAATGGCCAATACTTTCGTTTCCGCTGGTATTTCGTCTAAATGTTCTCCTCAGCCGCTCGCTACCCCCCGCAGCACTTTACAACGGCACTTTTTTGCCACGCAGCACCAAACTGTAATTTCCTTCATTCTATTTGTTTTAGCAAAGTACGTTTTCCGCTGCTCCCAGCGCACTGTTTACTTATGCCTTTTACACTCCATCCCTCCTGCTCCTCTCATTGCCAACCAGCAGCTTGCTAACGTGCACGCCGCGCACTCCGCTAAGCTGAAAAACGTACAAACTTACTCCGGCACTTTTAATCTCCTATTCACTTACTCTCTTAATATTAGCTCAAAGCAAAAACATCTGCGTAATTTATTTACTCACTTACATATAAATATCAAATATTTACGTTTAAACACACCTAACTGTATACATACATATAATATATATATTACGTTGTAAGCACATATATATACATATATTTTTATTCTCACCAAATACTTATTGCGCTCTCTTGTTGTCTCTGTTTCTTTCCATTTCCGTGCTCGTGCCACTGCTACTTTGTTAAAAAACAAAAAAAAAAAACACCAACAACAACTACAACCACAATCACAATTAAAACAGCGAGGAAGCGACGAACTTTTAAGTCAAGCAGCAGTTATGGCGCCCGCTTCTGACAATAATAATCAGGATTTAGCCACAAAGAAAGCCAAATTGGAGCCAAGCACCGTTCTTGGTGGAGTTGGTAAGTTTTGTTAAGTTACATTATTACCGTTTATGCTATGCGCTAATTCGAATGCTACTATTATTATTTAAGCACTGCTTTTAACAACTATTACTTACTCACCTGCATAATAATACGCCGGTAATGGTTGGCTTAAATTGCCGCCGCTCACTTGCTGCCCCCCTCTAACCATGCGTATTAACTCTATAATATTTCGAGGGTTTCTTTAACTACTCGACGTGGATTTCGTGTTGCTTTGTATTAACTTGCTAGCAGCTAAGACTTTGTACAACTTTTTTGTTGCCTTTTTACTATTGCACGTGCGAACAATTAACCTTGCCACACTTGCCGCAGCTACTCTAATTTGAAGTGCAAAGTGCACTTGTGCGCTCTTTACCGTTTGCTAAATTTGGTGAATATAGCGAAATAAATTTACCGGAATGAGAGGGGAAAAATTATAAATGATTTGAAATTTAGAAAATAATTACTTTAGCAAATTTTTTTACGATTACCGCTTATGGTGAGGTCATTGCTCAATTACAATACAGCAATTTTGTCTTTTTATTATTGTGCTTACTGATAACTTTTTTTTTTGCGAAGCTATTTTCATAAAAGTATGCATGAATGTTTGCTCATGAAAGTGCTACAATCTCCGAGCATATTGTTTATATCAGACCACTATAGCATATATATGTCATACAAAGTGACCGATCAAATTCAAGTTCCTGTGTAGAAAACTTTTTTATTGTTTTAATTTAATGTAGTTCATGTAAAAAAAAAACTCATATGTCTTGAAGTTCTAAATTTTTTTATCAAAAAAATTTGTTAGTAATTATAACAATAATGTTTACTTTAGATTAAATAGATTTTTGAAACTTTCCCATGGCGGAATAGCTGCCATATCATTAACAGGGAGCATATTTGGATATGCAATATTATACAACTAAATTTTATTAAAAATTATAAAATTATGCCCAGCCTTGCCAATAATGCATAAAAAAAAAATTAATTAACATTTTAATAGTTTTTGTTTCTAATTAAAAAATCTTAATTAAAAGTAACTTTAAAATTTTTAACCCTCATTTATCGGATTGCAATATAAAAAAAAATTTTTAGTCCCAAAATCCGGTTTAAAAATTAAAAATAATTTTAATTTGGATTGAAGAATAAAAAAAATTTCAACACATGGAATTAGAAATTTCAAAATAGCAACTATTTTGGAATTTATATTTTCTATTATCTCGCACAGAACTATCATCTTCTCCTGAGCACTGGTCGGCAAATTTACACACATTTAATACGATAGAGAGTCATCCATACTGAATTAGAAATTTAGTTGAGCGGCGCTCCACAGCAATTGAACCTCCAAAGCTACAAAAGAAAATAAATATTGACTTTGCCATATAATAGTAATAAAATGCCGAATTGTAACACTCTTTTGTCACCATTCATCGACTCAACGGTCATTAACTAGCGCCATATAATTTTATAGCGCGACCTTTAGACTCGCCTGATCAACATTTGCCATTAGAAAATGCTGATATACACACAAATCACTACCGCAACACACACCGACCGCAATTTCTGGCACAACACATACGCACACTTAAAAACAGATAACTAAAACAAACGCACGCCTGCGCGCCTACCACCCGCCAGCCATTGCCTCGACCCGTGTGTAATAAGAATGTATTTGTGCCACTAATAAACGAGCTAATTACACCCGAAATTCAACCAGCGCATTTTCTATGGCCGCATTGTTTGCTCTCGGCTGCTTTGGCTGTTGTGCTGATCCATTGATGCTCGGTTTTGGCCTATAAAAGCTGCCAGAACGCAAACACAATTCGCTTACAACGCATTAATTAACCTCAACAAACAAACAGCAGATAATCACCGGCTCAAGCGTATGTACGCTTGAATGTGTCGCAGTTGTGGCACTCAGATATGCGGCGAACGGCTGTACGAGTTGCCGGGTGTAACAAATCATAAAATTACTCATACGCCACGTCACACGTACGCAGCTATTCATTTTGTAGCCGAATTCACAGCGCGCGCCCCCTTTACTTTGTTCGCAATGTTTTTCGGTTACTCGGTTTGATTGTTGCTGCTGTCATTATATCGCTCATTGCGTTTTGTGGCTTGGTTTGTACTCACCGCTGTTGCCACAATGTGCGGCGTTTAGTTGCTTACTCTAAAATTAAAATAATAATAATAAACATGAACATAGCCGCAAAAATTTATTCACACCACAGCTTAAATGCAACAACAAAAACAGTGAATGGCATAGCAAACAAAATTTGATAACAACAATTTATATAATATCATCTGTTTAGCCTGCTTGCCACACCGGCGGTCTGCACTAAGTATAATATGATATATACATGCACATATAGTGCACATGATAATGATAATGTCGTTATGTATTTAATTGAATTCAAAACTAGATTTGAATACGATCAAATTATGAGTATGGTTCACGAAAATGGTTGAGTGTTCGCCGGTTGTTCGTCTCTTAAAAGGTTAGAAAGAAAATTTTAAATATTTAGATACTTGTACTTTTGCATATGGATATAGCATATATAGCTGTTAAACGAGAGAAGTTACTGCCTTAGTTATTTCGAAGCCATAAAATAATTCGCTAGTGCACTGTGCCGAAAATTAAATTAAATTATCCGCAAGGTGGCGCTGTAGTCCAGTATTTACAAATAACTGTATTTGTAGTCCGATTGTCTTCATTTTAATACCCTGAACTCAATGTACACAAAGTTTGACACAAAGTTCGAAACACTCAAAAAGAAACGTGTCAATATATTATATATATTTAAATGATCAGTATGGTAAACTGAATCGATTTAGTCAAGTGCGTCTGCTCATCTGTTTGTATATGTGCGAACTAGTCCCACAGTTTTTGAGATATCGATCTAAAATTTTGTACACTTTTCTCGCCAAGAAGTTACTTATTGGTCAGAACTTCTGATATCAGATTACTATAGTTAATAGCTGTCATACAAACTGACCGACGGAGCAAAATCAAGTTAAAGATCTTCTGGTACCCTTTTCTGATAAATACAATGCAAAGGTACTATAGTTCGAGTCATTTAAAGTGAAGGTAAGAATCAGTAATCCATAAATCGTTGGACGCCACTTAAGCACTTACAAACAAGCACTGAGTAGACCACTGTAAATCAAAGAGCTTTCAACTATGAACACAGCAACAACAACTAATAAATACTCACTACCGTTGCGCTGAAGCTGTTAACAGCCTTAATAGAACTGCTTGCCACCAATAAAACGCATCGATGATAGCCGCTTGCTTGCAATGTCACTGACCAACAGCAACAACAACTGCAGTAGAGCAAGCGAAGCGGCCGTCAACACTACACCAAAGCCGGTGCATAATCGTATAAAAGTGGGGTGTGAACTTTACAGCATTGAGCTCGCGGATGTTGATCGGCCGCCTGCTGGAGTTTTGCGCTGAAAAGTGAAATCGCTTTAAAGCACACTACAGCATTTTAACTGTAATTATTTTACGCGCGCTGATAACTGAATTGGCAGCTAACGTGTTTCCACAGCCGGCAGCCTGTCAGGCGTCCAGCCAGCTTTCCGGTTCGTCATAAGCCTGCTTGTTGTTGTTTGTGCGCGTGTTGACCTGTGTTTATTGGCCTTGTTTACAAGCGCTTGTTATTGCTGCTGGGGGCAGGTGATAGGTTATGCGCCCACCTACACTTAAACGCACATGCACTCATGCATACATATATATGTATTTGTGCATGTATGCATGAATGTGTGTTTGTGCGCATACTTCGCCGATGCGCAATGGCAATGTCCTGTACAGTGTTGCGACAACGAGCATTTTATTTATACATTTGTGCATTAACTCTGATAGTGGGCGGCGTGTGGCATGTAGCATGTGGCACTCAGCAGCTTTGCATATGTCTGCATGTCGCTGGTAGTTGACCATTATGTGGCCACGCTGTGCAGAATATTGAATATTTAGTACTGTTTTTATTATTTGTTTGTTTATTGTTGCATATTATTGTGAAATAAGCTTATTGAGCGGAGTTTAATGAATGAAAATATATTTCTTGGGGGTGTAATTAACGGCAATTAATAAAGCGCACTGCGGTGCTCGCCGTCATTACGACATTCGCGCATGCAAACAACATGTGTTGTAGTGTAGAATTTAATATCCGTTGGAAAAAAAGTTCTGCGAATAATAATTAATTATAACTACGTTAATAAAAGATATAGTTGGCGCAATAAATAGCAGTCGTAATATTCGTCGGCGGTAATTGTGCCTGCATGGAGCTTATAGCGCTGAGTTGTCTTTAGTCGAAGGCAATTGGTGTTGGCCTTCACTGGTTTTCACTTTTGTTTATTGTTAAATGAAAAGTGTAATGCTGAGAATGAAATAAAATTCGTGTGTATTTTGGTATCGAATTAGATTCTCATTTTTATTACGCACAATTGACTTGCAGTTATACGCATCATTTAATTTGTTTACTTAAAATTTTAGCGTATATAAAAAACTTTGATTTTATAAGTTCTATTTTGTATTCATTAAGTATACTTTTATTTAAGAATATATTTATAACCAAGCAGTTGGTTCCTTGTGGATATCACTTGAGAATGTTGCAGATATGACTTAGTATGAATTAGTTTCGATACGATCATGTTCGTTTCCAGGCTTCCCTTAAGGGGTATTGTAGTCTAGAATTTTTAAAAAATCCAAAAATTTCGTTTTTTCATATTTCGCTAGTTTAGATATTTCAAAATATCTCACGAAAATTATTTTTGAAAATTCAAATTATTTTTTGAAATTCAAATTATTTTTGAAAATTCAAATTATTTTTGAAAATTCAAATTATTTTTGAAAATTCAAATTATTTTTGGAAATTCAAATTATTTTCAAAATTATAGCGGCGGACAACCTGGCCGGCATAGTTTTAACTGAAAACATGAAACGCGTTTTTTTTTTCGAAACTACATATACGATTTAACGATTTACGTACGATGCTGTC